TGTCATTCTTTTTGTTTTTCATCCACATTTTAATTTTCGTCTCACTGCTTGTGTAAACCCAGTGTGTACTCGGCGTGCATTCGTGTTCATTTCCATCCTCGGTGCGTTTTCATTTTCATTCTGGCTGACTCCGCTGATTCTTTCCGGCAGTTCATTATGCACTTGGCATGCACTTCGTATTATCCAGTGAGTTTCATTTTCATTCTCATTCCGCTTCCCCACTCAAGCTGACTCCTATTTTCATTTCAGCGCGAGCTTGCTAATATCACGAGGACTTGCAGCGAGTGCTGGAACTCAAGTAGAATGGCTGACTGCACTATTTCATTTCGGAGTTGTGCAGAACTTCGGTTCTGCCGGAACTCAAGTCCATATGCAGAACTGAACAAGGTGGAACTGAAGTTGTGCGAAACTTCAGTTCCGTAGAGACTTCAGTGATATGTACCTCATTATTTTAAATATGGAATTTTTGATGCATCTTAAGTTCGAGCGCAGTGTGAACTTAAGAGGTTCCAACTCAAGTCTTAAGAAAGTGTTGTTGAGTTGCATGTAGTACGACCTTAGACTACAGTAGCAGAACTTAAGATGTACTAAAACTTAAGTCTGAAAGTGGTCTGGACCGCCTAGAACTTAAGATGAGCTAATGAAGTATTTGCCACATGATATTTCACACACTCCTGAGCGTCTGTCTCATGGAGGGGTCAACTGCTTGACAGGTAAAAGGAAGGAGGAAAAGAAAAAACTCACAAAAAAGAAAGCAGAAGAATGTCCTAGAGTACTAGTGGGTTCGAACCACCGGCTCTCCCAAAAAATTCGGTTTGGACACCAAATCGAGTACGAATGAGCTTCATTGCTCCACAGGGACTTCCTCCTCCAGCTTCGAACATTTGTAGGTGCGAGTCAGAGCATCCTCTAAATCCTGAGTGCAGAAAATTATCAGGACAAAGATGTCTATCAAATCCCACTACAAAATAAAAAAGCTGACACAGTAATTTACAATAGGTGGTAGTGAGTTAAGTGCGCGAGGGGAGATACCCGGATACTAGTGTAAGATTCACGGAGTGTTCGACCTAAATTTTTTTTTAAATGGAAAAAAAAAATGAAAGGATCAGAGAACTCATATATGTCCTCGGGTGGATTCGAACCACCGACTCCCCTGAAACTATGCGTTAATGCCTGTATTGGTTCGGAGCAAGCTTCATCACTCCACGAGGACTTATCCACTACTTTCGAGCCTCTGTAAATGTGAAGGCCCCGGTCCGGCACAGAAAACGATATTTACACAGAACAAAAAGTACACACAAGGGGGCCGGGTGCGAACCACCGACACTCCCCAAAATCGACGTCAGCCTGGAAATTGGATGCGAGTGAGTAACTTTTCTCCACAAGGACTTCTCGCTCTAACCTCAAGCCTCTGTAGGTTTGTGTCATGTCTGAGTGCTCCGAATCTGAATGCATGACTGACAATTTTCTCTAGCCAGCGACACAGAACCGGCAATTCAGAATGCGTGACATGAACAAGAGAATCATGGAAGAACCGGCAAAAAAAAGCGACTCGACTATCTCCCATGTCCTCGGGTGGGTTCGAACCACCGACTCTCCCGGAAATTTCATAACCCACGAACTATTGGTTGGGAGTGAGTTACTTTACTCCACGAGGACTTGTGTACACAGTTCGGTTCGTTGATAGGTGTGTAGCTGAAACTCATCTTCCCAGCAGTTACTCAATTGCACTACAAATTGTGACCCTCAAATCGAAGAATTTCAGGCAGAAATGGACCTGCAAACAGGTATTAATTTGGATTTTGAATCTGTGGCCCTGTCGAGTGGCAGGGACGGTTTTTGGGGTCATTTGGATGACTATGATCCATACGCATCTATGGTGGCCCTCAAATCCAAATCCATCCATAGTTAGCCTCAGCAGAATTTAAATCCTCATGGAAATACCCATTTTAAGTCCGGATTTTGAATCCATGGCCGTGGTAAGGATGGTTTTTGTGGTCCTTTGGATGAATATGATCCATCTGGATCTATGATCTGTTTATTGGCCTCTCCTTGCCCATGCTAATAGCTCCCTCCGCGACGACAGTTATGTGTGGTTGCTCTGCCTCGTCGTCGAAGATGTTGTCGGCGGGAAGATCATCGAACGTCGTGGTATCACAAAGAACCGGGATCGTTTGTCGAGCTCTTGCAAGATTATCCAAAGCTACAGCGCATTATCGAGCCAGATCGCCGTATATCTACCAGAGTGCATCTCGAGAAGTCCATTGTGGTAATATGCATTAACATCGTGGTTTATAATTGGAGGCTACGCTACGCCCGGAGAATTGTAGGAACTGTAGATAGCCGGTCATTCGAGTTCGGAAATGTTGCAATATTGGGGACACGATATGGGGGGAAAGAAAGGAAAACTACTGCAGGATGATACTCACGGGTGAAAGGGAACCACGTCTCTAGCGATCTGTACGGGAAAAGAAAAAAATGCGACGAATCAAGGAATGTCCTCGGGTGGGTTCGAACCACCGGCGCTCCCGGAAATCTCATACCCGCATGATAATAGGCAGGAGCGAGCTTCATTGCTCCACAAGGACTTGTCTTCCCAGCCTTTGAACATCTATTGGTGCGCGTCCGAAATTTAAGGGTATAGCACCATCGGCATTCGGGAAATAACAAATGCCACTGCGGACGTTTCCCTCGCCATTGTTCTTTGTGCGTCTTCTTTCCTTTGACTGACAACAAGACTAACACATCTCAGATGCTCTCCCTCCCCCACACCCTCCTCCTGCTCGCCTTCAGCGCTCTCGGCGCCTCCGCAGCGTCCTCGAGCCACAGCGCCACCAAGTCCTCCAGCGCCGTCGCAGCATCAGGCGTCTCGACTAGCAGCAACAGTATCGGCACCCCAAGCAACTCCGCAGCGCTCCCGAGTCTGAGCGCCATTTCGCCGTGTGGTCCGTTTCTCTCGTCCTCTACTCGATGAAAAGAACGAGAACACGTATTGATCGGGGGCTGCGTATAGTGAACAATTGCCTGGCGGTCGCAGCAGGCGCGGATGGGTGCCAGAGCCTGGCGGCAGTGGATTGTTTTTGTCCCAAGTGCTTCTTTCTTTCCTTCTCTCCTCACAATAATACAATGCTAACTCCCCCCAGTCCCGCAAACTACACCTCCGCCTTCCTCGGCTGCCTCACCGGCTGCCCTCCGAAGTCGCCTCCGCCGCGGCCCTCGTGCAGAAGTTCTGCGCCGCAGCGGCCACGCCGACCAGTCTGAGCTTTGCGTCGTTCACCCCGTCCTCATCCGCGTCTGCTTCGTCGTCAGTTTCTGTTTCCGGATCGTCTGTGACGGCGCCGCCCAGCTCATCGGCGCCGACCACCTCTACGAGCTCGAGCGCGAACGCCGCGCTGACACTGGTGCGCGTGGGGATAGCGATACCGCTGGGTGCGTTGGCGGTGAGCGGCGCGGGGGTATTGTTGGGTGCGTTGGCGGTGCTATAGGCGCCAGCGTATCCACGGACGTAGCGGATTGGCCGACCTGCCCCATACGCACTGATTACGCCCGCATCTCCGCTCTCGTCGCCATCCCTATCCGCCCGCCTGCCCGCGCTATTCTGGTCCTGCTATTCTGGTCCGGCTATTCACGTTCCCGTCACGGTTCCCGCTGTGCTACCTCCGCACGTCTCTCTCGTCCCTCGCCCAAATGACATTTCATCACGCTCGCACACATACCCTCCCCCTTCGCACGTTCCATCTCCCTTCTACCTCCGACGACATTGTCTACCTACCTACCGCACGCACCTATTTATTTGTCAACGACGCCCGACCCCCCGCCCCGCACGTATATATCCTAGAGCCGATGTAATTGAATGGAGTGACTGCTTGACTTGACGATGTAATGTAATTCCAATTCGAGCGGACTGCTTGCTGTGATTGTGATCATGATGCGGTTTGGACCACTCGCTGGCAGCTGTATCGGCGCCGCGGAGGATGTTTCCCCAAGTGTAGGTGCCCACGTCTGAGCAACAGAAAAAATAATGGAAAAAATAAACAACGTTGTCGAAACACTGTGACGTCCTCGGGTGGGTTCGAACCACCGGCACTCCCGGAAATGAGACAGCCGCACGATAATAGGCGGGAGCGAGCTTCACTGCTCCACGAGGACTTCTTCCTCCAGTTTCGAACCTCTATAATTGTGTGTATCTATCTAACCGTCCTCTGATTCCTGAGTGTAGAAAAATCCGAGGACAATTTACAAAGATGGCTCGCGTCCTATGAAATCCTACGAGAAAATAAACGGCGGGAGACCTAGTAATTTATCGTCCACCACAATAGATTGTAGGGAGGAAGGAGCGCTTGGGATACATGTAGGTACACGGAGGACTGGTGTAAAAATTCACAGGGTGATCGAACAAAACAAAACAAAAAATCCCATTCAAGATCAATATATGTCCTCGGGTGGGTTCGAACCACCGGCACTCCCGGAAATGACACACTCACGGCACTAGGCGAGAGTAAGCTTCATTGCTCCACGAGGACTTATTCCTCCAGCTTTGAGCCTCTATAAGTGTGTGTATCTAACCGTCCTCTAATTCCTGAGTGTAGAAAAATCCGAGGACAATTTACAAAGATGGCCTGCGTCCCACGAGAAAATAAACTGCCTGAGACCTAGTAAGTTATCGTCCAGCACAATAGATGGTAGTAAGGAAGGAGCGCTGGGGATACTGTAGGTATGTCCTTAAACTATGCGTCAAGGCTGGTATTGGGTCGGAGCGAGCTTTCTGCTCTACCAACCTACCCGCCAGTCTCTGCAGGTGTGCGAGCCTCCTCTAAATCCTGGGTGTATAAAAATGCAAGCGCAATGACGTCTGCGTCCTACCAAAATATTAGAGAGAAAAAGCGGATTATGATCAGGATGATACGAGACCCAAGGCTGCAGCGGAACCACATCTCTAGCGATCTGTACGGGAAAACAAAAACAAAAAAAACAAAAAAAAAATGAGACGAAGCGAAAGATGTCCTCGGGTGGGTTCGAACCACCGGCTCTCCCTGAAATTCAGGATCACATGGAAAGCTTAATGAACGGGAGGGAGCTTCGTTACTCCACGAGGACTGATTACTCCGGCTTCGAACCTCTATAACTGTGTGTATCTGACCGTCCTCTAATTCCTAAGTGTAAAAAATCCGAGGACAATTTACAAAGATGGCCCGCGTCCTACGAGAAAATAAACAGCAGGAGACCTAGTAGTTTATCGTCCACTACAATAGATGCTAGTGAGGAAGGAACGCTTGGGATACATGTAGGTACACGGAGTACTGGTGTAAAAAATCACAGAGTGGTCAAACAAACAAAAAATCCCATTCAAGATCAATATATGTCCTCGGGTGGGTTCGAACCACCGACTCTCCTTAAACTAAGGATCAAGGCTGGTATTGGGTCGGAGCGAGCTTCCTTGCTCTACGAGGACTTGTGCAACCTACCCGCGAGTCTCTGCAGGTCCTCTAAATCCTCTAAATCCTGGGTGTATAAAAATGCAAGCGCAATGGCGTCTGCGTCCTACCAAAATATGGGGGCAAAAAAAAGGAAAACTACTCCTGAGTGATAACTACGGGTGAAAGGCAACCACGTCTCTAGCAATTTGTACGGGAAACAAAACAAAAACAAAACAAAAAATGAGACGAAGCGAAAGATGTCCTCGGGTGGGTTCGAACCACCGGCTCTCCCTGAAATTCAGGATCACATGGGAAGCTTAATGAACGGGAGGGAGCTTCGTTACTCCACGAGGACTTATCTACCCGGCCTTTGGACATCTATTGGTGCGTGTCCGAAGTTTAAATGTATAGTACCCTCGGCATTCAGGAAATAATATATGCCACTGCGGACGGACGAATAAAATCGCACCGTGTTATTGCTAAATCAATTATTATCCTCCTCCGTGAATCGCCCACGGTACGAGGACTTGGGTTGGGGGGATACAAAAAAAGAAAAGACCGAGCTCAAAACATGTCCTCGGGTGGATTCGAACGACCAGCTCTCCGGAACTATGTACTTTCAGTGTTCGTATTCAGTGGGAGTGAGCTTCCTTAATCCATGAGGACTTCCTCTTTCGACTTCGTGCCTCTGTGAATGCGAAGGCCCCCGGCGCGGCTCGGAAAAATGATTTTTTACACAAAAAGAAACACAAGCAAAGCTCATGTCCCCGGGTGGGTTCGAACCACCGGCTCTCCCTGAAATTCGACACTATTGGGGAAATCAAACAATGGGAGTGAGCTTCGCTGCTCCACGAGGACTTATGGGCTCAGTTGGGTGGGTTGATAAGTGTGTGTCTGTGTCTGAAATTATGTCCTCGCCATCGATGAAAGCTGCGGGCGGAATTTGTGCCTCGATATTGTGGGGTCTTCGCACACGGGCACGGAACTGAATGGTGCCGTGTTGAGAGGAAAACCATACATAGAGTAAAATAAAATATATAATAACCGCGCGCCCGGTGGGGCCCGGCGCCGCTATCGCGGGGAGTGTGTGGCTTGGGTACTGCGGTGCGGCGCCGACGTATCCAAGGGGAGGAAGACGGGCACAGCGGATACCTTCCCCATTCGCCGGTCTCGTTGCCATCCCCATCCGCCGGCCCGCGCTATTCTCGGCCGGCTCCGCATACGTATCTCCCTACCTTCATTGCCGTCCCCGCGGGGCCACCCGCTGTCCCCGTTCTGCTACCTCCGCACGTGCCCATGTCCTGAGCGTCTGTCTCACGGAGGGGTCAACTACTTGATAGGGTAAACGGAAGGAGGAAAAGAAAAAACTCACAAAAAAGAAAGTAGAAGAATGTCCTAGAGTACTAGTGGGTTCGAACCACCGGCTCTCCCAAATAATTCGGTTTGGACACTAAATCGAGTACGAATGAGCTTCGTTGCTCTACAAGGACTTCCTCCTCCAGCTTCGGACATTTGTAGGTGCATGTCAGAGCGTCCTCTACATCCTGAGTGCAGAAAATCTACAAAATAAAAAGGCTGACACATCAATTTACAATAGGTGGTAGTGAGTTCAGTGCGCACGATACCCGGATACTAGTGTAAGATTCACGGAGTGTTCGAGCTAAAAAAAATTAAAAATCGAAAAAATCGAAAGGTATTGAAACCCACATATGTCCTCGGGTGGATTCGAACCACCGACTCTCCTGAAACTATGCGCCAAGGCCTGCATTGGTTCGGAGCGAGCTTCGTCACTCCACGAGGACTTATTCGCCTACCTTCTAGCCTCTATAAATGTGAAGGTGCCCGGTGGGTCGAACCACCGACACTCCCCAAATCGACGTCAGCCTAGAAATTGGATGGGAGTGAGTAACTTTACTCCACGAGGACTTTTCGCTCTAACCTCAAGCCTCTGTAGGTTTGTGTCATGTCTGAGTGCTCCGAATCTGAATGCATGACTGACAATTTTCTCTAGCCAGCGACACAGAACCGGCAATTCAGGATACGTGACATGAACAGGAGAATCATGGAAGAACCGGCAAAAAAAAAGCGACTCGACTATCTCCCATGTCCTCGGGTGGGTTCGAACCACCGACTCTCCCGGAAATTTCATACAACCACCAACTATTGGTTGGGAGTGAGTTGCTTTGGTCCACGAGGACTTGTGTACACAGTTCGGTTTGTTGATAGGTGTGGAGCTGAAACTCATCTTCTCAGCAGTTACTCAATTGCACTACAAATTGTGACCCTCAAATCGAAGAATTTCAGGCAGAAATGGACCTGCAAACAGGTATTAATTTGGATTTTGAATCTGTGGCCCCGTTGAGTGGCAGGGATGGTTTTTGGGGTCATTTGGATGACTATGATCCATACGCATCGATGGTGGCCCTCAAATCCAAAATCCATCCATAGTTAGCCTCAGCAGAATTTAAATCCTCATAGAAATCCCCATTTTCAGTCCGGATTTTGAATCCATGGCCGTGGTAAGGATGGTTTTTGTGGTCCTTTGGATGAATATGATCCATCTGCATCTATGATCTGTTCATTGGCCTCTCCTTGCCCATGCTAATAGCTCCCTCCGCGACGACAGTTATGTGTGGTTGCTCTGCCTCGTCGTCGAAGATGTTGTCGGCGGGAAGATCATCGAATGCCGTGGTATCACAAAGAACCGAGATCGTTTGTCGAGCTCTTGCAAGATTATCCAAAGCTACAGCGCATTATCAAGCGAGATCGCCGTATATCTACCAGAGTGCATCTCGAGAAGTCCATTGTGGTAATATGCATTAACATCGTGGTTTATAATTGGAGGCTACGCTACGCCCGGAGAATTGTAGGAACTGTAGATAGCCGGTCATTCGAGTTCGGAAATGTTGCAATATTGGGGACACGATATGGGGGGAAAGAAAGGAAAACTACTGCAGAATGATACTCACGGGTGAAAGGGAACCACGTCTCTAGCGATCTGTACGGGAAAAGAAAAAAATGCGACGAATCAAGGAATGTCCTCGGGTGGGTTCGAACCACCGGCGCTCCCGGAAATCTCATACCCGCATGATAATAGGCAGGAGCGAGCTTCATTGCTCCACAAGGACTTGTCTTCCCAGCCTTTGAACATCTATTGGTGCGCGTCCGAAATTTAAATGTATAGCACCATCGGCATTCGGGAAATAACAAATGCCACTGCGGACGTTTCCCTCGCCATTGTTCTTTGTGCGTCTTCTTTCCTTTGACTGACAACAAGACTAACACATCTCAGATGCTCTCCCTCCCCCACACCCTCCTCCTGCTCGCATTCAGCGCTCTCGGCGCCTCCGCTGCGTCCTCCAGCCACAGTGCCACCAAGGCCTCCAGCGCCGTCCCAGCATCCGGAGATTTGAGCAGTGCGCCCAGCAGCAGCAACAGTATCGGCACCCCAAGCAACTCCGCCGCGCTCCCGAGTCTGAGCGCCGTTTCGCCGTGTGGTGCATCTCCCTCTTCCTCTACTCGATGAAAAAAAACGAAAACATGTACTGACACTGCTGGCAAGGGCCATGACCGCGGGTTCATGGCATTTGACAGGCAGAGCACAGACACTTGCCATGGCGTTGGCCAGGCATTGCACAATTCCCTTTGTTCCTTTGTCAGCGTGGGAAAGTCCGGCGTTCAAGTTCAAACCCAATGAGAAATTCTTCCCTTCGCTCTTTCATTACTTGCTGGCCCTCGTCTCACTCCGAACAGGAGCAGAGGAGCCTGGAGAGCCCGAGGCAGAGTCTACCAGTACATCTTGTGGCCTTTATCTGGTCTCACGCCTGCAGCACAATGAATTTGTTTTGCGTGCGACTTTAAACCCGGTGCCCATGCAAAATTGGCTGCACGTTGAGAAGTCTTCGGCAAAACGAGAAACAAGAGCAAACTTTTGTATAACTAACTCATGGGAAGAAATACATATTTCTTGGACTCAGCAGTGGTTGAAAAAATCAAAACACCTCGCGGTTGCAAGGTGGAAGTGATCGCCGAGTGATTACCGAGCGCAAGCCGCGGAAGGCAGACAGATTTCTCACGCCAACAAAGGAACAAAGAAATGTGTGCAATGCCTGGCAAACGCCATGGCAAGTGTCGGTGCTATGCCCATCAAATGCCATGAACCCACGGTCATGGCACTTGCCCGCAGTGTGATTGGGGCCTGCGTGTAGTGAACAATTGCTTGGCGGTCGCAGCAGGCGCGGATGGGTGCCAGAGCCTGGCGGCAGTGGATTGTTTTTGTCCCAAGTGCGTCTTTCTTTCCTTCTCTCCTCACAATAATACAATGCTAACTCCCCCAGTCCCGCAAACTACACCTCCGCCTTCCTCGGCTGCCTCACCGGCTGCCCCTCCGAAGTCGCCTCCGCCGAGGCCCTCGTGCAGAAGTTCTGCGCCGCAGCGGCCACGCCGACCAGTCTGAGCTTTGCGTCGTTTACCCCGTCCTCATCCGCGTCTGCTTCGTCGTCGGTTCTATTTCCGGATCGTCTGTGACGGCGCCGCCCAGCTCATCGGCGCCGACCACCTCTACGAGCTCAAGCGCGAACGCCGCGCTGGCACTGGTGCGCGCGGGATAGCGATACCGCTGGGTGCGTTGGCGGTGAGCGGCGCGGGGTATTGTTGGGTGCGTTGGCGGTGCTATAGGCGCCAACGTATCCACGGACGTAGCGGATTGGCCGACCTGCCCCATCCCGTTGATTAACGCCCGCATCTCCGCTCTCGTCGCCATCCCCATCCGCCCTCCTGCCGCGCTATTCTGGTTCTGCTATTCTGGTCCGGCTATTCACGTCCCCGTCACGGTTCCCGCTGTGCTACCTCCGCACGTCTGTCTCGTCCCTCGCCCAATGACATTTCACCACGCTCGCACGCATACCCTCCCCCTTCGCACGTTCCGTCTCCCTTCTACCTCCGACGACATTGTCTACCTACCTACCGCACGCACCTATTTATTTGTCAACGACGCCCGACCCCTCGCCCCGCACGTATATATCCTAGAGCCGATGTAATTGAATGGAATGATTGTTTGACTTGCCGATGTAATGCAATTCCAATCCGAGCGGACTGCTTGCTGTGATTGTGATCGTTTGGACCACTCGCTGATATCTGTATTGGTGCCGCGGAGGATGTTTCCGCAAGTGCTCACATCTCAGTCTGGATGTCGGTCGAGCCATTAGAAGAAGAAAAGAACGGAAAAATACTGGAAAAACAAGCCGTTATCGAAATACGTCCTCGGGTGGGTTCGAACCACCGGCACTCTCGGAAATGACACACTCACGGCACTAGGCGAGAGTAAGCTTCATTGCTCCACGAGGACTTCTTCCTCCAGCTTCGAGCCTCTATAACTGTGTGTATCTAACCGTCCTCTAATTCCTGAGTGTCTAAAAATTCATCGAGGACAAAGATGGCTCGCGTCCTATCAAATCCTACGAGAAAATAAACAGCCTGAGACCTAGTAATTTATCGCCCAGCACAATAGATGGTAGTGCGGAAGGAGCGCTTGGGATACATGTAGGTACACGGAGTACTGGTGTAAAAAATCACGGAGTGGTCGAGCAAAACAAAAAATAAAAGAAATCCCAACATATGTCCTCGGATGGGTTCGAACCACCCCTCCTCCTTGAACTATACATCAAGGCTGGTATTGGGTCGGAGCGAACTTCATTGCTCTACGAGGACTTATTCGACCTACCTGCGAGCCGCTGTAGATTCTAAATCCTGGGTGTTTAGATATGCAAGCGCAATGACGTCTGCGTCCTACCAAAATATTAGAGAGAAAAAGCGGATTATGATCAGGATGATACGAGACCCAAGGCTGCAGCGGAACCATATCTTTAGCGATCTGTACGGGAAAAGAAAAAAAAGCACAACGAATCAAAGAATGCCCTCGGGTGGGTTCGAACCACCGGCTCTCCCTGAAATTCCTGAACAGACAGATGGCAAGTTAATGAACGGGAGGGAGCTTCGTTACTCCACGAGGACTTATTCCTCCATGCTTCGAACATTTGTAGGTCCGAGTCTGAGCGTCCTCTAATTCCTGAGTGTGGAAAAATCCGAGGACAGAGATGGCTCGCGTCCTATCAAATCCTAGGAGAAAATAAACAGCCTGAGACCTAGTAATTTATCTTCCAGCACAATGGATTGTAGTGATCAAGGAGCGCTTGGGATACATGTAGGTACACGGAGTACTGGTGTAAAAATTCACAGAGTGGTCGAACAAAACAAAACAAAAAATATAAGAAATCCCAAAATATGTCCTCGGGTGGGTTTGAACCACCGACTCTCCTTAAACTATGCATCGATGCCTGTATTGGGTAGGAGCGAGCTTCATTGCGCTACGAGGACTTATCCAATCTACCTGCGAGCCGCTGTAGATTCTAAATCCTGGGTGTATAAAAATGCAAGCGCAATGACGTCTGCGTCCTACCAAAATACGTGGGAAAAAAAAGGAAAACTACTGCAGGAGGGTGAAAGGGAACCACGTCTCTAGCGATCTGTACGGGAAAAAAAAATTGGGACGAAGTGGGGAATGTCCTCGGGTGGGTTCGAACCACCGGCTCTCCCTGAAATTCCGAATTAAACGGCAAATTAATGAACGGGAGGGAGCTTCATTACTCCACGAGGACTTATCCACCCAATCTTTGAACATCTATTGGTGCGTGTCCGAAATTTAAAAGCATACTACCCTCGGCATTCAAATGCCACTGCCGGCTGGACCAAATTATTATCCTCCTGCGTAAATCGCCCACCACGAGAACTTGGGTTGGGTTGGGTTGGGGGATACCAAAAAAGAAAAGATCCGAGCACAAGACATGTGCTCGGGTGGGTTTGAACCACCCGCTCTCCCGGAACCACCGACTTTCACTGCTCGTATTTAGTGGGAGTGAGCTTCCTTACTCCACGAGGACTTCCTCTTTAGACTTCGAGCCTCTGTAAATGTGAAGGCCCCCGGTGTGGCACGGAAAAAGGATTTTTTACACAAAAAGAAACACAAGCAAAGCTCATGTCCCCGGGTGGGTTCGAACCACCGGCTCTCCCTGAAATTCGAAACTATTGAGGAGAATCAATCAATGGGAGTGAGCTTCGCTGCTCCACGAGGACTTATGCGCTCAGTTGGGTGGGTTGATAAGTATGTGTCTGTGTATGAAATTATGTCCTCGCCATCGATGAAAGCCGCGGGTCGGAATTTGTGCCTCGATATTGTGGGGCATTCGCACACGGGCACGGAACTGAATGGTGCCGTGTTGAGAGGGAAATCATACATAGAGTGAAATAAAATATATAATAACCGCGCCCGGTGGGGCCCGGGGCGCTGCTATCGCGGGGAGTGTGTGTGGCAGGGGTACTGCGGTGCGGCGCCGACGTATCCAAGCGGAGGAGGGCGGGCACAGCGGACAGCTTCCCCATCCGCCGGTCTCGTTGCCATCCCCATCCGCCCGCCCGCGCTATTCTCGGCCGGCTCCGGATATGTATCTCCCCCACCTTCATTGCCGTCCCCGCGGGGCCGCCCGCTGTCCCCGTTCTGCTACCTCCGCACGTACCCATGTCCCTGTCCCACATGATATCTCACGCCCCGCTGAGCGTCTGACTCACGGAGGGGTCAACTACTTGACAGGGTAAAAGGAAGGAGGAAAAGAAAAAACTCACAAAAAAGAAAGTAGAAGAACGTCCTAGAGTACTAGTGGGTTCGAACCACCGGCTCTCCTAAAAAATTCGGTTTGGACGCCAAATCGAGTACAAATGAGCTTCGTTGCTCCACAAGGACTTCCTCCTCCAGCTTCGGACATTTGTAGGTGCGAGTCAGAGCGTACCTGAGTGCAGAAAATTCTCAGGACAAAGATATCTATCAAATTCCACTACAAAATAAAAAAGCTGACACATTAATTTACAATAGGTGGCAGTGAGTTAAGTGCGCCGAGGGGAGATATATACCGGATACTAGTGTAGATTCACGGAGTGTTCGACTAAATTTTTTTTAATGAAAAAAAAAATGAAATACAGAGCTATATATGTCTCGGGTGGATTCGAACCACCGACTCCCTGAAACTATGCGTTAATGCATGTATTGGTTCGGAGCGAGCTTCGTCACTCCACGAGGACTTATCCACCTACTTTCGAGCCTCTGTAAATGTGAAGGCCCCCGGTGCGGCACGGAAAACGATTTTGACACAGAACAAAAAGTACACACAAAGTGCCGGGTGGTCCAAACCACCACACTCCCCAAAATCACATCAGCCTGGAAATTGGATGCGAGTGAGTAACTTTATCCACGAGGCTTCTGCTTTAACCTCAAGCCTCTGTAGGTTTGTGTCATGTCTGAGTGCTCCGAATCTGAATGCATGACTGACAATTTTCTCTAGCCAGCGAAACAGAACCGGTAATTCAGAATGCGTGACATGAACAGGAGAATCATGGAAGAACCGGCAAAAAAAACATATTCGACTATCCCCATGTCCTCGGGTGGGTTCGAACCACCGACTCTCCCGGAAATTTCATACGCAACGAACTATTGGTTGGGAGTGAGTTACTTTACTCCACGAGAACTTGTGTACACAGTTCGGTTTGTTGATAGGTGTGTAGCTAAACTCATCCTCCCAGCAGTCACTCAATCGCGCTGCAAATTGTGCAGGCCAATGGAATCATATCTGGAAAATATTGCAATTGGGGGGGGCAAAGCAAGAAAAGTTGTGCTATCATATGGTGGGTATTCGATGGTGCCCATCGAAGGAAAGGCAAAGAGGATATATAAAGCCAAAGACGCCCCTCAGGTGGTTCGAACTACCGACTCTCCCAAAATGATCCTATCAATGAGCAGGATGAGCTTAGCTGGGTTGCTTGATATGTGCATATTCACATTCGATGCGCTTCTTCGAGAATCCAGTACAACAATGTCGCCGACTGTGGCACACCGCTAGCAAAATCCGCCAAAAACAAAATTAAAGAAAGTTGTGAAATGCGAAAAGAAATGCAAACGAAGGCTTACAAAAATAAAAGTTGGCAAAACCTGCCAATACTTCATGTCCTCGGGTGGGCTCGAACAACCGACTCTCCCAACACCCTTGCAGGGACCTAAGGCTTAATTGGCTGGGAGTGAGCTCTATACTCCACGAGGACTTATACACAGAGTTAAGTGGGTTGATATGTACACATCTGAAATTCACCTTCTGCAAGGCGACGAATCGCATTGCAGAGAGAGAGTGCTGGTACGAGAAATACCTGCGAAGTCAGCTTGGAATGCGCGGTATACTGCCATCTTCGGAGACTCGTGCAGGTTTGCGCGCGCTGACAGAAAAGCCACAATAAAAAGAAGAAAATCGATGTAATCACGGATGCCCTCCGGGAGCGGCAAATGTATAGGGGCAATGGAGCACAGTGGAGGGCCCTGCTCAGTTGGATGCTCATGAGAACGTGATGATGGTCAAGCTGCCCCGTCAAACAGACTATAGTAAATTAAGGTTTAAAAGAGGGTCGACACTGGAAAATCCGAGATCCAAGTCCGATGGGGGAACAGGTGCCTCGGCATCGCTGCCGGAAATCCAAATATATTCTGAAAAAAATATCTATGCTTATGGGAAGTCATCCAATATGATTGTTTTTATATGATAAGAAGGAATTACTATCAAGATTTCTCTCCAAGTGGAGCAGGGCGATCAGTTTTCCCCGCATCGCCCATACTGTACACATCAATGAATGATAATAAGATTCTGAGCAAAATCGAACCATGGAGACAGTACTTACCAAAATGGCTGTCAAAATGGCATCAATGCCTGCCTGGTCCGTATACCCGTTGAAGTATCGGTCATCGCTCGGGAACCTGGGGAAGACGACATCAACTTCTGGCCATTCAATGGGATACTTAAGATCTACCATGGATCCCCAGTCTCGTCATCGTCAGTTACGCTGGACAGGTACAGTGTCAGTTCGTGGTGATGATTTCGCATGTATCAGAAACAATCCAGACGTACGTGTCACTTGTAACGGCCATGAACTGCTTCCAGATTGCAGACGCGAAGGGACCGGAGTACACGTTGCCTGTACCAACTCCTTTGGCGATATCGATATAATACTGATGATCAGATTATGAGCGAGATGACATTATTTGCGTCGGAGCCTCACCATGACATGTTTCATGAAGATGCCCTGGCAATCAACGGTCAGTTGCAACCTCTGGATAGTATCAAAACACACCTTGAAAACCATTCGATCCGGTCCATTGGCTTCATCCTTGTTACATCTGGGTGCCGGATCGCAAATGGGTTCCCGCAGAATCCCGTCTTTGGTGAAGTCGGTGTCTGTGTTCAGGACGGCGTTCAACGTGATTTCTGCATCGGAAAGATAGTCGCCATTGGTTCCACCAGTAATCTTGTACAGCACTGCCAATCCAGCTGGAATCGTCCCCTTACAAATTGGGTTAGGAGCAGGTCACGAACAACAGAAGTGAGGGCGTACTTGATTGTAAGTATAGAGGCCACCATCAATCGTACATGATTTTGCGTCCTTGTCCCAATGTATACCGTCTCGCCAGAGTCCATTTGAGTGCGCAGTCCACTTTGTGAGAGCCAACCCCAAGTCTGTGAACATTCCAGACATGTTCATTTACGCAAAATGTTGCTTACGTCGAGTGCATCTTGCTTGTAGTGGTCATCGTTCAATCGTTCAAATGCCAGTCCATTTGCGAGGAGGAACAATCCATTGGTAACGGTGTTCTTGTAACCTTTACTCTATCGGAAGATGAGCACATAGACCGACTTAACACCTGCGCCAACTGACCGAGTCCCACCATACTGCGAAAGACATCAGCTGCAGTTCAAGTGTATGGGCATTAACTTACCTCCGCTTCCTTTGTTGCAGTCGCTGATGGTGTCCACTGCCAATTGTCAGCCTTGTTATCGTTGATCTCAAAAGGAAACCGATTCACAGGCGTTGTCCTTGACCATGTCCAGAATACCAGCACCGAATTTCTGCCACTTCTGTTTTCAGAGTGCACAATTTCAGAGTCTAAGATACGTACATAGTAATCTTCGTCGTTGATCCTTGTAGTCGCCAATCTTGAAGTACATGATTGATGTCCACAGTGCGTCGTCAAACGAAGTCGGAGACCCGATACCTGATCAAGTCAATGAATTGACGATTAGCACGCAATTTGCTCGAGCGTACCAGTAAAATAAGATTTCCAATCTCCACCGGAACTGCCCTCCGGAAACGGAAACGCCGCCTGGTTGAATTTATCGTAGCTGTCCGAGTCATCACCGGTTATTTTTATATAATTGAAAATGGTCTCCATTTGTTCTGCATGATATCAGGTCATCTGGGTTTAGAGTTTGTGCAGCTGGGCATACCGCATCCGTCCACTCTCGGGTATCAAGATCGGGTTCAGATGAGAAGTAACCACCAGGACACCTTCGCCTGGATTGGCACGTCAGTTTCCACTGACTGAAAAGCAATGGCAAACATTTTACCTACGATCGGTGGAAGTAAATAATCCATCATGGCGTCCATTCGTTTCTGAGACAATGATTAGCGGGAAGATCCTATTGAAACTCGACTAGGGTAGAACCTTGGCGAGTGCCTAAAAGGAGAAGAAATATTTAAATTGGCGACATTTGGGCTCAGCAAGTTGCGTACAAATGCGGAGGTGCATGTAACAGGATCACCATAAGTTTTGGTGGGCGGGGGAGGCGTCGTTTTCGTCACCGTGGGCTGATCAAGGGACCTGGGGAAATTTTGTTAACCACCACCCTTCCTACAGGTGAAGCACATACCAAACAAAGGTGCCCCCGAGACATGTTTTAGCCGCAAAGTCGGATTTTTGGCTGTAATAACAGCGTCAGCACGCCAACTTACACGGACGGCTGCGAAACTAAACGAACGCCAGGGTGTCCTTCTGGTCAAATGTAACCAAATCTCCGCTCTGAAGAAATCTTTCAGTTAATAGACTCTTCAGAGAATTGATCACAACCGACCGAAGTGTCGAAGAAGTACGTCTCTGTAGTTTGATCGAGAATTGGTTTGTTCCCCGCAGAAATGAGACGATCGACCCCAAATTGTGCCAGGATCCCGAGGCGGCTGTGCAAGGTCCCGTTGCTCCACCGCCGGTCATCTATGGACACAGCGATGAACTTCAATCCAGCAACGGGCACCATCCATACCGTGCAGTTATATCCTTTACAGGTAGCCGAAGCCAAATGGTAGGTCCGAGCGTATTCCGCTAGTCCTGAGTGGGATGGTAAATTTCTGTCGAGTCCTAACATGACAAAACCACTCACCCAGATTGACTAATACCTGATTATCAGTGCTCAGTTTGTAGATGAGGATCGTGGACTTACCTTTACCCATGTCGATTCCAGCACGAATGTAAAGTAATACGCTATCCTTCATATCAAGAATCGATGTGTGTGGGTTGGTCACTGGGGCTTGACCCGTGACGTTAGTGTCCCATTGTCCGTGATAATCATACGCTGGCGAATATCAGGAAAACAGCTCAAGTAATAATATGAACAATTGAACATACACATCATGTTGATGTAAGACACGCTAGGTGCAATCTTATCGATCTGGAACCCCGTAAGAACCAGAAGCCCGCGGGCGTAGCTGGAAGATGTAAGTATGCGGAAGGAAGAATGCGACGGACGAGTTCACGGCGGCATACCAATTGATATCAAGGCACTCGACGGAAGGCCGGCCTTGAGCTCGGTGAAGAACGAGGTGAGATTTGGAGTATCTGGTGAGATGATATCACGAGAGCGCCTTCCGTGCCACAGTAAATGAACGCACCGGTAGCGGGGGCATTTCTCTCAATCGCCGCCGGATATTCTTCGCAGTATAATCAGCCAGTAGATGAAGCATCTGTCTAATTACTCTCACCAAAATCAATATCTGGCCATTGGTATTGTCAGCGTGAAGGGATAAAAGGAAGGGTGGACTTACCAATTCCATCGAGGCCGAACTGCGTCAAGAACTTGGCGACAGAGGCAATGAAGGTGGCCCGATTCTGACTCGTGGAGATCATTAAGGTGAATAGATCCTTCGTGGCGTCCATTTCGCTACATAGAATGAGTTCCAGCATCCGGAGCCAGTGTATATACATGACGACGTACGAGAAATCCCAACCACCAACGGCGATGAGAACTTTGAGACCGCTGATGTCGCTTTTGCGCTTGACGAGGTCTTGTAGTGGTGTGTTGTCGTCATCAGTAATTTCTGTCGCACGATTAGCCATAGACTGCAAGGATAGGATGATTCACAAGACGTACGAATTTGAAAGGACTGTGAGATTGTCGCAAATGCATAATGAACATGTGTGAATCCGGTAAGGTCGAGCTGGTTCGGTGAAACGGGGTTACAGCCTACGACGCGCTTGTTAGCCCAGCCCTCGTAGTACCCTATTTTCCGCAGTGCTCGCGAGGAACTGCAAGACGGCAAGGTCGGCATCCCACAGTTCGATTGGCTGCCAGAACATGAATCCAAGCAGAGACATTGTGGAAACTACTGTACCAAGATTGGCTCCCTTGGGATAATGTCAGGGCTGTGAAATGTAATGTAGC